CATTTCTCTGTAATTGTTACTTTCATGATTCGTTTTCACGATTCCACATTGCACAACAGCAAAAATGGTTTCGCCCTACTAAAAACATGTTATGGCCACTCAAGTGAAGTGACCGTGTTATGGAGTTGGCTAGGAAATATAGGTCACAAACAATGTGACATGGATAGTAGTCGCATTAATGTCGTGTTTCTTCGCCTATTCCTTTAGTTAAAAACACTAAACTTGTTCTAATTTATCAGTGGCCGTATTTACTCCTCGGTTGAATGCATCAACTGATTCAATACAACACTTCTTTCAGAGGTTTTATTTTTACAGGGAGACAAAGAAATCCAATAATGAATTCGGTAATTGAGGGGTCTATTCAATACAGAGTAGCAAGTGAAAATTAACGCCCTCTATCCATGATCCAGACAACTAAATTGACCCACTGAAATGGACAATCAATTCATTAATGAAGAACAACATTCGTCTGGTCGAGCAACGCAACGTTGTTGTAGCTTTCGGTCACTGGTCGATTTGGAGTACGTTGATTTGGACCAATGATTGATTCAGGGTATGTCGTTTGGGGTCAGTGGCCGATTTGAAGTACGTCACTTAATACCCGTGGCAGATTTAAAAGTACGTCGTTTTGGACCGGTGATTTGGAGAGAACAAGCCGCTAAAACGTTATGTATGCATATTCAATAAATTTACAGCTGGAAGAACATTATGACTTAATATACTACTAGTTATCTAAGAAGTTTTGTTCAGAATTAATTGATACATTTTAAATAATACTAAGATCATTGCTGTTGGAAATAGTCCATGACTTGCAGTCAAGTTCTCTGTACCGAATTACATAGCTTAAACATAAATTTACCCACGAATACAAATGTTTAATAAAACCATTTCCACAATTCATTTACATTTCTACATTTCATTTTTATTTTATAATCCCTTTTTAATAACTTTTACATAATTTTTTTAATGAGATTCTCATTTCTATTCGATATTCGATTTGTGTTTTCAATCTCATTTCAAGTTCGAAATCCATTTTTATTTTCACTTTTTGACATGTGACCTCGCCCTCTGACCTCATACCACGTGACTATAAATTGTAACTCGGCATTGATTATGCCATCTTCGCCAGCCAAGGACCATTTTTTCGGCCGAAGCCTCAACATTAACCCTTGGCAGATTTCACCATGATTTACTGTATGTCGCATGCCCTCAAACGATTATAAGACTCACTTCGGCTCATCAGAACTCACGAAAGAAACTACACATTTCTTGGTAAAATTAAAATGGCGGAATCAAATAAACGTGTTGCTAGCTTACTGGTCATCAAAAGAAGGCGCTTAGTGCTGTATATGAGGAAAATGACGTATTTGTTGCAAATGACGTGTTTGTTGCAAACACAGTCCTTTAACAGTATTGCAACGAAGACTGAATCGGGAAAGTCGATATGTTATCAGTTTCAACAGTTTTGTCAGTTTACTAAAACAGTTTGCACAAATATTTAGACATTCCATCGTACTCATTCACTTGCCCTCAAACAATGTTCAACGTTAGAATAAGACATTTTGGAAACGTGTCAACGAATATAGACCGGGGTGAATCAGCGCAAAGCCTACACGCCGCCATTGTTTGAATCTGTGATGAGCTCCCCGATCTTTAAATGTATGATACAGCAACTCTGATTGGTGGCGCCATCTCCTTGGCGCGTCCAATCAAATGACTCAATTTAGCTGCAGTGAAATACTGTAACAGCTTTTCTAACACGATCACGCACGGGTTTGTGGGCCGGTTATGAATGGCCGGCTTTAGCGAAATTGTGCGAATTGGACGATGTGATTATGGCAGTTTATTTATTTCCACCAGTGACGTTTTCATGGTAAGGCTTCTTTACGTAAGTTCTTTTTCAGACTATATCATGTGCACACGTTCCATGGCGTTTTGGGGTACATGGGATGTTCTTGGCTTCATCTGTCGGCTACTGTGGCGTCGAATGCATTTGTGGCTCGGCCTGTACAATGACGGCGCTACCTTGTATACCGACAGTACCCTATCCGGTACAATAACGCAGCAGAACCATGGCTATAACTTATTCTAAAAAAATATCAGGATCAGTTGAAATGATGTTTAAAACACAAATCGAATATCGATTCGAAATGAGAATCTTAGTAAAAACATGAAGATAAACAATAAAAGAAATAAAAACAGTTAAAGTTAATGCGACAGGCGGGAGACAACAGTGATTTTTCAGTAAATCCTGCTGAAAAATTTGCTTCAACGTGAAAATACATGTATACCTATAGTTCAAATGTCAACAAAAACGATAAAGGGTATTAAAGATGATAACGGATTTTAAAAAATGAAAATGCATTTTAAAAAAAAAATGGAATTTGAGAAGCAAAAATGGATTTAAACAATTTTTTTTTTAAAATTCAGAGCCCATGAACAAAAGTGGCTTTTAAAAATCGATTCCAAGATATAAAACAAATAAAAATGAGTTTTCAAAATGTAAATGAATTCTAAAAATGGTTTTATAAAATGCCATGTTGTGAGACTAATGACGGCCAAGTAAATTTCTATTATTTTCTGGATTCTAACATTTTTTTTTCAATTGGTGAATTGTCGGTATGTAAAAACAATTTAGATTTTAGCTACGAATTCCGGTGTTATTCCTGTGGTGGCGACATTTAGTTTTCAACAATTGGATTTTGAAATGAACGACGAAAATCATAATTCTATTTTCAATTTGGGACGTTTCATTTCATTGAATAGCTAGGGGCCTTTACGGTTATTTGCATTTACTTCCGACGGCGAGCCCAACAACACGCAAACTAGTGTTACCAGTCAGTTATGTTATGACGCCCACATTTTAATATTCATATTCGAGAGCTGAAGCCATGCTGACTGATTCGGTGCCTTGCTTGAAATGAAGGTCGAAAAAAGATTGTCACTGAGTAAATCAGTGTTCATGTCAAACAAGGGTCTTCTGACGGCGAGATCAACTGTCGGCTGGCCTCTCATAACCCGAGGCATCAAAGCTTATAAGCACTGATGTGCGATTTCAAAAAGGGGATAACACTTTTGAATAATAATGATAGTGAATAAAGTTTCAACAAATGGTGTGACTGGAATATAGCCACGTGACGACAAAACGACCGGTTGATTAATGGACGATTGAATCGCCACGTGGGAACGCGACTTGTATTCGTTACTTTTGATGTATAATTACACGCTGCCTCAAAAAGTACCAGGAAAAACGTCCCCAACCTTATTCTGTCTCTAATTTTACAGACAGACAACAAAATTTTGTTACAAATAATGTAAAATGGTACTGTTCTATAGTGTATAATGTAGGTCACCCACGAGATCATCACGTAGACGAAGCGTGGCAGTATCCCCTAGCGCATCAATAAAATGAATAGCCTCATGTTGAAAATAGGATTTTGATTTTCGTTTCAAAATCCTATTTTTGAATGGGCGATGTTGCCACCACAAGCATAACTTAGAAAACTACAGCTGAACTTTAAATTTCGATTACTTGCCGCCAATTCATCAGTTGAAATTACACCTAAAACCAAAATGTTAGATTACATAAAATATTAGATATTCACTTGACCGCCATTAGCCACGGACCCGTGAGCCACCTCGGGTGCCGTACTTGAGCGTTAAGAGACAGTATCATAAACATATTCTTAATTAATTACACTTCATATATGTCCCTTTGATCGTTATCGATTCACTATTGCATTTTTCGTATTTTCATTCTAAAAGATTATTCATGCCCGAAGAATCTAATAAAATTATTTAAATGTTGTGAGTAAGAATAAAATAACAAACATGGACTCGGTAATGGACAATGTACAATTACGTTCAATTTATTCCACAAAACACCTTCTGATTTCCGGTCATATTTTATTACATAAATTGTAATTGTAATAAGTTGTTAGCAAAATCACTGGAGGTTCCACGTAAATCGAAGTTGTCGCGATTATGTGCATACATCATGGGCATTATCTAGCAATGACATGTTACTGTAAATGTTCTTTTATCGGTAGTTTTCAAATAAACCTCCTGGTTTGTTTTACTGGGATTAAAACACCGAAGTAACGCATTTGTCTATTGTCTGATTAACATATAATAAAAATAATAATATATATTTGAAAAATCTGATTATAGAACAATATCATGAAACTCCAAACAATGTCAACAATAATTAGACCACGCAGTCATGGAAGCCCCCTCGTTAAACAACTAAATCATAACCAGACAAGTAAACTCCATGTAATAAGGGAATATTCCTGAATAAATTATACGTATTTTTAGTGAGTGATTTGGTAGAAAATCATCTTCATTACTGCTGGCATCATTTTCTAATAAAAAGACCCATTGCTGACCTGTCTGACTTTTTCTAGTGTGCACATATCGTATGGGTTCAATTTCTTATAAAAAATACTCTTCTGTTATGTTTGAATTTTGACAGATCAATACAATCTATGTATTTAATTTGTGACACCCGTTTTTCAAATAACTCGGATGACGTGTGATCTTCTGTAACGACCATGCCCATTTTCTACTGTTTTCAAATTAATTCCAGGAAACAAGCATTTTCCAAAAGTATACAATACGGTTAAATACAAACTGAAGATTAATCTATAAAAGCAAGACAATAACACTGCTAGAAATTATCTCAATGCTGTATTGCTTCAGATAATCAATCCATTGTTCTGAGTTTACATATCATTGATATCACCATAGAGTTCACTGTCGTATTGGTTCAGGTTGACAACCTATTAAAGCAATAATATTTAATTAAATTATATACACTATACGTGCATGTCATTTGTATCGTGATTATATAACTACTATACATCCAAATGCAAGTTATTTTTATTACTGAATAATAGTCGCTCTTGTTTTTATCTGCAGTCATCCATAAACAAAAATATTTTTGGGGGGAGATTAATTATATTGAAAATCACGAATGAGTGCACAACAAATCAAAGGTATCACTTTGTGACGTTGCTATCATCTACATCATTTTGACTTGTACGACAAATGTATTGAATAATACATGTACCTCTTCCTGTCTATTAATGTATCTGATTTCTTGAACCAGTTCGCCAAATCCAGGACGCCGTTCTATGTTCTTGTTCCAAGAACGAAGCATCACAGTGAACCTACGTGATCAAATTGATAATAGTCAGTGTTAAATATTATATTTATGGCTTGTTTTATAGTTTATCGATGAGTTTAAAACTGAGAACATGTCACCAAAATGAACAAAAAATGCAATAATATTTCTTCAATTACAAATATTTCTTAGCAGTCTGTACTGTTAATACTTTGAGAACCACGATTCGCGTTCAGGCCCGCTTAGGGGAACATTGGTGATACAAAGCCGAGTTACATATACTTACAGTTCCTGGGTACAATGAGGTGGTTTTTCCATACGGTAACCCTTAGCAACTTTTTCGGTGATTTCTTTGTTCTTCATTCCGGGGTAAGGTAAAGCACCTGCAATAGACGTGGTACATTATTGCCAGAGAGATTATAGCGTATAATACATGGACATACGTCTGACTGAAACACTGACGATAAACATACCTAAGGTAACAATCTCCCATAACAAAATTCCGAAGGACCAGACATCTGTCTTGAACGAGAAAATGTGGTTGCTAAGAGACTCTGGAGCCATCCAACGAATCGGCAGACGGGTCTAAAGCAAAGCAAAACGAATTGAAAATAAGATTATTTATTTATTTATTTATTGTTTGTTTGTTTGTTTATTTGTTTATTTTTTTGTTTATTTATATTTGCAATACTCAACTGTGCATAAGGTAATATTTTACAGTTGAGATAAAGCAATTTTGTTTTCTAACAAACCTACCTCTTGCTTGTCTTTCACTTCCCGTTTGTCAGTTTGAATAGCTTTAGAGAACGAACCAATTTTGCAGATTTCATTATTACCCACAAATACGTTTCTTGCGCCAAGTTTACGGTGAATGATGCCTAGGCTACTGACATGCTCCATGCCGCTGGCTACTTGTTCGGAGAATAGCAGCAGTTTCTGTGACGTCAAGGTGTCACTGCCCTCAAACAGGTTACCGTATACGTCGTCCGGACGGTCAGGATTCGATTGGCGGCTGCGGCGTAAAACTTGTGACAAGTTGTCATATTGTGCGAATTCCATGATGATGCTCGGCTTGGCTTTGAATGGAAATGTATTATAATTAGGATGTGTGTTTCAGTGTTTGGATACATAAATACGGAACCTCAATGATTTCCTGTATGCAGTTCCATGTTTTTCTTATTAAGTTGACCGTGAGTTGTTTTGTGTGTATGTCTTTAAACTTGAATAAACATCATTAGCTACAACAGAGGACATAATGACCTGCTAGTTCAATGTATTACGCAAGGCTGGAGCACATTGAAACGCATGCGTGACAAGCGTTCATACAGGCAGCACGTGCAAGAAACTGTCATGATATTCTGTTCTCGGTTGCACTACCTTTATCTACCCCAGCCGACAATTGAAGCCACGAGCGTTCTTAGTGATGCTGCAATAAATAAGGGAAATCATGTACAACTTACGAGTCCCCCGGGTGGTGATGCAGCCCAGCAAACGTATGACGTTATCGTGAGGGATGATAGTCAACATGATGTCTAATTCGTGTAGAAGCATTTCCCGCTGAGACCTGTTGTTGGGATCTAAAAGTAAAAACAATCCACGTAGTTAGTACAATAGTTGTTTACATCTAAAGTATTCGTGATTGGTATTGCACGCCACCTACCTTTCAAGGTCTTTACAAGTACACTGGAAGTCCCTGGGATGCCACTAATACTGGACGCATTAGCTTTATACACTCCTGAATGAAGAAGCTCTCGCAGTTGGATCCTAGATGAAGGAAATTCCATTTCCTCAACGGTTAATGCCGCGCCTGCGTCGAATTTCGGTTTAATCGTTGGCATGACGGAGTAGTCGTTTGTTGTGTGTGGTGGGAGCTGACCTTTTGCTGCCTTAACTTCACCCTCTTCCCCATGATCATACTGGTAGTTTACATTCCCGAGATTCTGCATGTAAAAAACAACCCATTGTTTTGTGATTTACTTGTTCTTTAAAGCGGAAGGATCGTCGCCCGCGCACGCGAGGGAATTCCCAAGCGACGATAACAACACTCGCTAAAACGCAAAGGCTCATGGGTAGACGCTTGTCTGTAAACAATGACACGCTATGGCCATCTGACGCATGCGCAGGTGATGACTCCCCCGCTTTAAAGCCCACGTTCCACAGGTATAACTCTTCTCAGTAATTATTGACACAACGCTTTGTAGCTAAGTCAAAGAACCAATAATAATTGACTGGAGAAGGAGATCTTTTGACCATTTCCTGATATTATTGTCCCTCAACTACCATGCTTTCTTTCAATTTGTGATATTAGCGACCCGTCAAACTATTTTTTAATAATGATAAATTTTCTCGGTAAGTTACGGTTCCAGAGAATATACGCATAATCATAAAATTACAGAAGATACATCGTTAGTATATAGACCTACATAGATTACAAGGTTTCTATTAAGTACAGTTATGTAAATATGCAAAATCCAGTACAGTTATGTAAATATTCTAAATCCAGCGCCCATGTAAGGTTTTCTCAGTGTAAGTGTACATGTTAATGTGACAAGTATGTACAACGCTATTCACCTGTGCTGATGCACCCCAATCTGATGCTCTAGTAATAGGTGGACCTCTATTGAAAAACTGTAAAAAAAAATCGACAAGACAGATTAAAATATGAACAACATTGACTTAGTATGTGAAATACCATAAATTAATTAATAATGAAGAAATATTATGTAAATGTAATCAATATAATGATTTGAAGATTTATAAACATTCCGTCTCGTACCTTAGGTAGCATGTTTTTTCGCCACAGAATTATAACGGCAACAATGATAAGTATGATAATAATAACGACAATAACGCCCCCAGCGGCGGCACCTGCACTCCCGCCTCCACTGCCACCGACACGTGCGCCTGGAGCGCGAGCCATTAACTTTGAACGGAATGTAGATAAAAAAAGTAACTGTCACATTGTGTTAAAAAGCGATTTGGACAACAACAAAAAACTGAATATTCATTCTGTTTGTGCAACACATTGTGTCAAACATATGCTTAAATTATTAATATCTCCCTTCTAGTTCCAAAAGTCTTGTTTATATTACCAAAATTGAGGTACAATATTGTAAAATTCTTGTTGTGTGTTGGCTTACCGTCATTTCCATTGGTGTTTCAATCATAGCATTATTGTATACAATTATTTTCATCACACATTCAACGTCACCGTCGGGCATTTCCATCATGGTAGCACTTTCCGTATTGATGATGTAAACACTATAGTAACATATATCAGCCATGTCCAAACACTCGCATTCAGAGGTAGGACAATTTCCGTCCTGGAAAAACACGGTTACAACACTTTTCAGGATTACCGGATTGATTGATTTTTAAACCCAACGCAATATCATGCTTCTATGTGTTTCAAAATAAAATTTCAAGGACGGTCTAAAATACCTTGTTTATTCACGTGAAAGTAGAACTCTGATCTTAAAATTGATTCCTGAATATGAGTATACTTGATTGGGAATACCTATTTGCTTCACACAGTAAGCTATTTACCTCTGTCGCACAGAAGTACACACACAAGAAAAACGGAAATGACGTAGTCCGTTTGGTACTTACGGAAGGTTTCTCAGTTACCTCTCCTTCGGCATAAATAATAGTCCCGGTTTCTGCATCACGTATTTCCCATGTAATTTTGTGAATACCACTTTCCTCGTCACTGACCTGCACCATGATTCTATATTTGGGAGAAAAACAACGCAGTGTATAATAAACCATTTTTAAAAGTTGCGCCCTCTGCCGACAAAACGCTTATATTACATTGGAGGTGTATGCATGTGTCATTCACAGCAATAATGTGTTTCCTGTTGTGTTGATATTCGAAATTTTTGTATGATACAGACTATGCAGCACACTAAATGTATGTCATATTCTACAAAATCTTACTGGTTATTGTCAAAGTCCATGATGGTACCATCCATTGACATATCATTGCCGTCGCTGTCAACCATTTTGAATTCTGCGTCTGGGGGAGTTTCGTCCACATAAATGTAAGCTTTATCCTCTTGTTCGTTCCCCATTACGTCATAAGCTTTCATCCAGACCGCTATCTTTTGCCCACTAGAGACGGATATTGATATATCTTTCTCTGCCTGTAGATACAACGGGGTATATAGCATTCAATGCATTTTTTATTTACATTCAACTCATTAATATGCATAGATAGACACTGTACTGCGAATTAAAGTTAGTTGGTATGTGTGGAGAGAAAAAAACTACGTCACTCAAATATCCAAGCTAAATATTCGAGTTAAAAAACGGTGGTCGTCATGCCGCGCATGTGCAACATTTGTGTTGATAAACAATGATTTCCCGCGGTTCATTTCGTTCTTCTAAAGGAAATCACGAGTTTTGATCTAGGACAAAGTGCACTAATTACTAATGAAATTACATAGTTAAAGCTTAGTAATGTATCAGTTTGTACTTATTGGTCTGCTCAAAAGTGGAATTGCTATCTTTGTGTATATGAGTCCCATATCTCGCGCATGCGCGTCGCGAAGACCACCGCTCTTAAAGACTGTTTAGTAGTTCAGTAAAAATGGACAATTCCAAGGAAAAAAGACCCAAAGGCAAACCACAATTTAAACACAAAACTGAGAAACTTGGCATTGATTGAATGACTAGCTGTTTAAACTTAGGCTAGTAG